ATCACAATGGTTGACTTGAATGGCTTATATTTGGACCATATAAAAGTTAGGATATCATTGCTACCCTTGGTCTTAATTATCTGTATATATAAAAGCCTCAGCGACCAAACGACCGGTCGACTGGTAGCTGTGACACGCACTGACCACCAGGGGACAGATGCTCAATGGAGCTGTCCCCTGGTGGTCAGTGTGCTCCCACAGTGGGAGTGCTGCTCAGCTGACAACAGGGTGCCAGACGCTGGGCTCACAGCTGGCGAGCACAGCTGCAGCTGCACAAGCCTCTCCTACCTCCGAGGCAGCACTACTGAGCAGTGGCGGCAGTCCCAGCGGGATGAGCGGGTGCAGAGGCACCTGGCCTGGGCTCAGGCTCCTCCCTGGCTGCCTGCTGCTTCACGCATTACTACATACCCTGAGGGGTCCCGGATTGCAAGAGGGCAAAGGCCAGGTTGAGGGACCCTACTGGTGCATGAATCCGTACACCAGGCCTCTAGTAATATATGATTAAGTATTAAATCATTTCTGAACCTACTGTGGTTAAATTTGTTTTATTATTGACAACATAACACCCTATGTTAAAGTTTACTTATAGTCACTTAAAATTTTAGGAGTATGTATATTTTGATTGGGAGTGGGCTAAGGACAGTGTAACTGTTGCTTCTTTCTTGAAAAATAATTTTGTGGGAGATTATGAAATACTATGATTACAGATTATACTAGATGCCATGCTACCCCTCTAATATTTAAGGAGCTTTAAAATGTTGCCATGTTTCTTTTTGTTATTTAAAGAGAAGTCACTGTGCTTGTTTTGGCAGCACATATATTAAAGAGAAATCAAGCATTACATAAGAGGTAGAGCTAAAATCCAATTTCTTCGTTTCCAGACCCTTCTTTATGAATTTGTTGTATATAAGTTCTGTGAATTTTTAAAAAATATATTTTTATTGATTTCAGAGAGGAAGGGAAAGGGAGAGAGATAGAAACATCAATAATGAGAGAGAATCATTGATCAGCTGTCTCCTACTGAAGATTGAGCCTGCAACCCAGGCATGTGCCCTGACTGGGAATGGAACCATGACCTCCTGGTTCATAGGTCAACACTCAACCACTGAGCCACACTGGTCGGCCTGGGCATGTTTTTATACATTTATTATTTATGACAATCTTTATTGTATGTTTATTCTTTTTTAGTTTTTGTAGTTTTCTCATTTCACATTGCTGAGATTTAGTCATGTTGATACATGTAATAATTAAACTGATAAACAGTATTCCATGAATTCCTCTACTGGTGTGTATCATAGTATTTATTTTTGTTTAGTTTGTTTTTAGTTTTTCCATTGAACATTGTTCTGAGATATAGTCATGTTGATACAGATAGTTCTAGTTAATATTATTACTATAGAAAATTTTATAAAAGGAATAAATTATAGTTTATCTATTTTCATACTTTAGCAGATTAGATTAACTGATTTTTAGTTGTAACAGGTTCTATTGCAATGAACGTTTGTGCTTACAGAGATATAGGTTATGTTCTCTGAATAAAATTTCATGATGGATAGGTATGCACATTTTCCACCTACCCAAGTACAGTATTTCCAAATTGCTCTTCAAAAGTGGTCGTGCCAGTTTTTATTGTTATCAGTAAATCATGAATTGTTGATTTTTACATTTCACTGACACCTGGTTTTTCCAAGCTGAGTTTAAAACTACTTTTTAATATTTGACCTAATGCTAATATTTTAACCAAAATAACAAGACATAGCATATTTTTATGTATTGGCCATTTGGAATTCTCTTATGTGAATTTTCACTTTGTTCATCTTTTATTAGATTTTTTTTAACCTTACTGTAGTTATATATTTTGATATTTAATCTTTAGCTATGTGTGTTGTTTTATTTAAATCATTCCCCTGAAGCGCCAAAGATACTCTTCCTTTGTTTTAAGTTTGGCTTTTCCGATTGAGAAACTCTAAAATTATGCAAGTATATCATGAAGAAGGGATCTAATTTTACTTTTTCCATGTAAAGAACTGGCCACTTCAATACCATTTGTTAAATAGTACAGTATTTCCCCACTGGTATGAATGCCATTTTTTGTATATTCAGTTTTAAGTTTGGGGGCTCTGTATTCTGTCACATAGGTCTTTTGTCTTTCTAGACTGCCTTAATTATCTTAGCTTTCTGTAATTGTGTAATACGATTTTTTTCATCATATTTTTTTTCAGAATTTCTCTACTTTTGCTCCCTTTTTCTGTGTAAGTTTTTGGTTCTGTTTGTCAGCTTCCATTAAAATCCCTGTAGGGGCCCTGGCCAGGTATTTCAGTTGGTTAGAGCATCATCCCAATACATCAAGGCTGCAGATTCAATCCCAGTCAGGACACATACAAGAATCATCCTTCTAGGCTGGTGTGGTTTAGTTCAGTGGTCGGCAAATTGCGGCTCACGAGCTACATACAGTTCTTTGGCCCCTTGAGTGTGGCTCTTCCACAAAATACTTCTGCGCATGGGCCACGAAGTTTCAGTCGCACTGTATGTGCGTGCCCACACGTGGTATTTTGTGGAAGAGCCACATTCGAGGGGCCAAAGGGCCGCATGCGACCACTGGAGTTGATTGGGTATTGTCCAATGCACCTGGGGGGTTACCAGTTTGATTCCCACTCAGGGTATATGCCTGGGTTGTGGACTAGATCCCCAGTTGGGAGCAAAGCTGACCCATGTTTCACTTTCATATTGATAATTCTCTCTTTCTCAAAAAGAAAAAAAATCAATAAATAGTTTTTTTAAAAAAATATATATTTTATTGATTTTTTACAGAGAAGAAGGGAGAGGGATAGAGAGTCAGAAACATCAATGAGAGAGAAACATCGATCAGCTGCCTCCTGCACACGCTCCACTGGGGATTTGCCTGCAACCAAGGCACATGCCCTTGACCAGAATCGAACCTGGGACCCTTCAGTCTGCAGGCCGACACTCCATCCACTGAGCCAAACCGGTCAGGGCAATAAATAGTTTTTAAAAAAGAATCAGTCCTAGCCAGTTTGGCTCAGTGTATAGAACGTTGACCTGTGGATTGAAAGGTTTTGGGTTTGATTCCAGTCAAGGGCAGATACCTCGATTGTGGGCTTGACTCTGTGCCATGGTCTGCAGGCATGCAGGAAGCAACCAATTAATGTGTCTCCTCTCTTGCATGGATGTTTCTCTCCCTCTCTCTCTCTTTTTCCCTCTCCCCCCATTCTCCCTCTCTCCCTTCTTTCCACTCTCTAAAAATCAATGGGGAAAAATATTCTTGAGTGAGGATTAAAAACAAAAAGAACCATCCAATGAATGCATAAATAAGTAGAACAAATTGATGTTTCTCTCACCTTCTCCCTCACTTCCTCTCTCTGAAATCAATCAATAAATAAAGTTTATTTTTAAAAAACCCTGTAGGGAATTGGAATTTATTAGAATTTATAGATATATGTGAAATTGCTATCTTTTGAAAAAAATCTCACTATTTATGTAGGTCTTTCTGTGTTTTTTTTTTAGGTTTTATTATTTTCTCTAAAGATCTTTTGTGTATAATATTACCATTTGTTGGTGTTGTGAATAGGTTTTTTTATGAGTATTTTTTACTTGTCACATGTAAACACTATTAGTTTTTATATGTTAATCTTGGCAACATTGCTGAATTCTTGATTATATGTCTTATGTTAAAGTAGAAAATACTTCTATTTCCTGGGGAATTAAAACCATTTCAGAGAAATTATGTGCCACAAAATCAGGATACTAGAAAGCAGTTTCAATTAGTTATTTGGGGAGTATCTATCTGTATGTGAATAGTTTTATCATTGTGTGTCCTGTGACAGATAGGGAGGCAGACAAACAAAAATCTTTGATTTTTCTTAGCAATAGAGTTGGTCTACATAAGGGCCTTGAGATGTTAAAAACCTTCCACCCCCATCCTATATAATAAAAGCCTAGTATGTAAATTGTCCCTTCGTCCGGGAGTTCGACCAAGGGGCTGGGCCGGCCAGCCAACTGCCCGTGGCCCCTTACCCTGGCCGGCCCTGGGCAGCAGGCAGCCAGGGGAAGGGAGGCCCCGGCCAGCAGCCATTAGGGACCTTACCCATGCACGAATTTTGTGCACTGGGCCTCTTGTTTAGTATAAATGTTGCTGCTATAAACACACACACACAGAAGATATGAAGACAGACAGGGAGAACTCCATGTGATCACAGAGGTAGAGACTAGAGTGATGCATCCACAAGCTAAGAACACCAATGATTGACAACCAGAAGCTAAGAGAAGGCACAGGACACATCCTTGGGAGGAATCATGGCATTGCCGACACCTTAATTTTGGTCTTCTAGCTTCTATAACAGTGAGAAAATACATTTCTGTTGTTTTAAGTCACCCAGTTTGGGATACCTTGTTATGGTAACCCTGGGAAGATAATACAGACTTTATAAAAATAAAAACATTGGCTCAAAAAACAAAAATCAACTCAAGTAAAAATGAAATGATTGAGTTCTAGCAATGGTGGGTGAAAACATTGGCAAGTCCTCTTCCCCCAAAACAACTATTAAACTGTATAAAATGCTTACTGCAAAAACAATTATTTCAGGGCTTTGAAATAGACTAAAGGCATACAACAAATTTGAGGAGGATTTATTTAGTAAAAAATTGTTAAACTTTGGGTAAGAATAGTAAGAGTCTAGTTTTGCTTTAACATGATAGCCTGCAGCCATTATCATTCTAAAAGCTTTCATTCCAAAAATATTTAAACACACAAATGATACAAGAGGATATTCTTATTGCAAATAGCAAAATGAATCAAATGAAACTCCACATTGATTTCCTATCCTCCAATCTCATCTCATCTCTCTCTCTTGGCGTTACTGTAGCTATACAGAAGCAAATAATTTGGTTTTGTGATTGTTTTGATATTTAAATAGTTATAGTGTACTATTAAAAAAATGTTGCTGCTACTCTTGGATTTCACTCAGTTTATTTCCTTATAGGAGGCGCAGGTCAGAATGGAGATGGGCTGCAGACCGAGCGGCTATTGTCAGCCGCTGGAACTGGCTTCAGGCTCATGTTTCAGACTTGGAATATCGAATTCGGCAGCAAACAGATATTTACAAACAGATACGTGCTAATAAGGTAAGGGATAAAAGTGTCTGGTCTTTTTCAGCCCAGCTAAAATCTACCATTATACCTTTTCTCCTATCCCTCAATGACTTAGCTATGTCAAAGAGAATGGTTTAATATGATCTGATATAGTGGTTTAATTTGTTTAAGAGCCTGCTGTTGCTTAGTGGAGTGCTGATAACACTGCTAGAATACAATGATAAATTGAACATCTGTTTAAAACGAATCAGTTTGTATACCTGAACTAACAGGAAACATAAGATAAAAACCTAGATAATGTATGCCATTGACTATTAACTGTTATTTGTTATATTTATGAAAAAATGGTCATGACTAAGAAATTTCACCTTGTTTTTTTACATAGATGCATTCTGCTTTTCCCAGTAACTAAGTTTCCCTTGCTTTCTTGAGGCAAAATAGGGTCTTTCCTGAAAAGTTGTTCAGGCAGAATTAGACATTGATGGTTAAGATTTTGATTTTCATGTGTCCTACTATCTGCAGAGAGCTGATTATTAGTGCACACTTTTATCTTTGACAGTGACACTGTATATAGTTTTTCTTCTTAAAATTCAACTTAGAAGAATTCTCTGCTCGGTTTGGCTTTGATTGAGGGATAAGTGTACATGGAAAATAAATCCATTTAACAAATAATTGAGTGCCTATTGTATACTAAGCACTGTTCTCCTTAGTGAGGTCACAGTGGTAAATAAAAATCCTACTTCTGTGAAAATTAAGTTCTTGCAAGGTATTTTTTGTATTCACTTGATGCACTTGAGCTTCATGACTGCACACATGGGTCTAGATCAGCGGTGGCCAACCGGGTGGTCCATGAGGTCCGAAAGGTTGGCCACCGCTGGTCTAGATGGAGAACCTACTGCTCCTAAAATTAAGTGTCACGACACGTTTTTGTCCTATCTTAGTGCTGGTCAAAGCCCTCAGAAAATTGCTGTGCTGTGAACTCTGTGCATTAAATTAATGTAGACCAAAAGTTAAAGGAAGACCAATTGACAAGATGAACAAAATGATGAGAGATTGAAGTAAAAGTTTTATAGACCCCCAACCCCTTTAAGTTTTTATTTAAAAAATTCCACTTCCAGCTTCTTCCCAAATAGTCTATATGTAATTCTCCAAAAGTTCAGCAAAACATGTTATAATTGAGGGCAAAGTCCAGAACACTTAACTTTTTTAAAAACAAAACAACATTATTTGTTCCTTTAGAATAAGGAACAAATTAAATCCTGACTACTTTAAAAATTAGCTAGAGCGAATGAAGAGTTAAAACTAAAAATATTCTCCAAGGGTGGCGAATATTTTGCTTTCTTTTGCTCTTCTTCACAAGGGAAATTCTTCACAAGTGAGATTGTAAAACGTGAGCTGGAATGGTGATAGGAATGACTGGATGTGCCTATCCTGAGTGAGAAAAAAAGTTTTGCTCTTTCAGGGACTTTTCTTCAGTGTCTGTTTCTAGGTTATTATAGCCAGTAGTTAAGTGGGAACTTCCATATTTGAGAACAAGAGTCTCTGAGTAACAACTGAGAGTAGTACAATGGTAATCATATTTGTTGCCTTTTTTATATATACATTCATAAATATGTGTGCATATGTTTTGCTAGTTGTTCCCCATTTTAAAATTACTATATTTCATAGACTTGAAGATGCTACTAATTGTAAGATGCACCATTATTTTATGTGCCACTAAAAAATGATTTCAATTAAACTAAGACATCCCATCAATTGTTAAGGTACATTCTGATTTAAAAGATGTTAAGATGGAAAAGTATGCCTTAGAATTGATGAAAAACTGTGTTATCATTTCTTAGGAAAGTTGCAAAATACAGGGAAGTATAAAAGAGAAAAGGGGGGGGCACCTTTCTCTTTTTTAAGTTTTTAAAGAAAGAATTTATTTCTATTTAGAAATGCTCCGAAGATTATAAAAAGGCCCAAAGGCTCCCAGGTTTAACATAAGATCCTACTGAGTTGGTGTCTGTTGGTTTTTCCGTTACTAAGGTATCAGTTTGATTCTTGTTCATGAAACACCCCCATGATTCTTCTTAGTGTCATGGTGATTTCCTCGGACTCCCAGTATTTTTCATAAATGGCCATCAGCTCATGAATGACAAAAAGTATATTGCATTATTCTTCAAAACCAAGTCCAATGATTAGCAGTTTGAAAAGCTGAGATCATGATGTGTGTCATGTGCAAAGACTGGTATTAAATGCAGCTCTTTCAGAACAGAAACCAGTGGACACACTTCAAGACTAATTACCCCTTTCTCTCAGTTTTGCTGTAACCTAAAACTTCTCTTTAAAAAAAAGTCTTTAAAAAACACATTTGGGCATGTTTTATTTCACTATTAGTTTTCTATGCCTATAAGTAATTTCTTTAAATATAGTCATTTACATGGGAACCCTGGACATTTTTCTGTCATTTTTTGGAATATATTTTTACTGACTATATTTTATTACCCTTCTTGGTTGATTATTTCAGTTATGTACTTTATTAAAATTATACAGGCATACCTCAGAGATACCACAGGCTCGTTCTAAACTACCTCAGTAAAGTGGAGGGTCTTCTTTCTTTCACTTTGTAAAAACTTCAGTATTTGTGAACTGCAATAAAACCAGGTATGCCAGCACGCACAATAAACATTCTCACCTATGTCACAATATGAATACTTTTATGTTCTTGATGCATGCTTGAGAGAAATTTTTTGACTCAGTTTACAGTCTCAATTAAGCTATGTGAGTAGATAGTCTTACCTCATTTTTGGTTCCTGCTTTATTCTTTTGCTCATAACTCAGTAATAATGACAGAGCAGTTGTTAGGAACTTGCAGAAGTCTTAAATATTTCTGGAAAGTAGTTGTTCTGGAATTTTGTATATATATTTATTATCCAAGAGTTTTGTCATGGGGGCATAATATATTAAAGAAGCACCAGACTTAGACTTGGTAATCTTTGGTTCTATTCCTGGCTTTGTTACTATATCTATATATATAAAAGGCTGAGTGACCGACCGTCCGTCCATCCAACTGACCGACCGACTAGCTGGTACACATGACGCGCACTGGCAATTTGAAAATAAACGTCGACTCGCACATGCACAATACATATAAAGCTCTTGGAATGGATATTATTTAAGTCCCCCGTGAAAAGATTTGTAACGGATCTATTATTGAAGCTACCTTTGGAAATAGTATCTTCTATCCATAAATATAAAAGCCTAGGCGACTGTTGTGACCAGATGACCAGCTGGTACCTATGGCATGCACTGACCACCAGGGGGCAGACACTCAATGCAGGAGCTGCCCCCTAGTGGTCAGTGTGCTCCCACAGCCAACTTCCCGCAGCCAGCCAACCTCCCACGGTCCCTCCTCCTGACTGGCTGTCCCCAATGGGCCCCAATCAGGACTGGGCGAGATGGCCCCTATTTGCCCTGATCTCTGGCCAGGCCAAGGGACCCCCACCCATGCACGAATTCATGCACCAGGCCTCTAGTCCTATCTAATAAAAGAGAAACATGGTAATTAGCATACAACCGCTACCGTTCCCATTAGCTAATCAGGGCAATATGCAAATTAACTGCCAGCCAAGATGGCGGCCGGCAGCCAGGCAGCTTGAAACTAACATGAGGCTGGCTTGCTTCAGTGACGGAGGACTTCAACGTTCCCCCGCCTGCCGCTGCAGGCCTCTGAGCTGCAACTCTAAGCAACTATGTAACAAATATAGAAGCTAAACAAAACCCCAGAAACCTGCTTTAGTCCGCCGGGCTTCAGCCAGCAGGTTCGCAACATTGTGAGCAAAGGCCAGAAACCTACTTTCAGCAGCGGAGGCCTAAATGCTGGAGCCAAGCCTCAAAGCTAAAGCTGGCCCAGAATTAAAAAAAGAAAAAGAAAAAAAGGAGTGGTTGGGAGCTTCAGTCACCGCCAGCCTTAAAACAGCCCTCAGCCCCTCACCCAGACTGGCCAGGCACCCCAGTGGGGACCCCTACCCTGAAGGGTGTGTGACCAGCTGCAAACAGCCATCATCCCCTCACCCAGCCTGGCCAGGCACCCTAGTGGGGACCCCCACCCTGATCCAGGACACCCTTCAGGGCAAACCAGCTGGCACCCACCTGTGCACCAGGCCTCTACCCTATATAGTAAAAGGGTAATATGCCTCCCAGCACCGGGATCAGCGGAGCTGTGAGGCCTCCCGGCAACGGGATCAGTGTGACAGGGTGCGGCGCCTCAACACCCCCCCCCCCCCCCACCCCCCATGGGCCCTGCTCTGTGTGTGACAGGGTAGAGCTATAACCTCCCCCCATTGGCCCTGCCCTGAGTGTGAGAGTGGCGGCGCCCCAACCCCCTGATCGGCCCTGCTCTGTGGGTGATAGAGGGTGGCGCCCCAACCCCCTGATGGGCCCTGCTCTGTGCGTGACAGGGCAGCGCCCCAACCCCTGATGGGCCCTGCTCTGTGAGTGACATGGGGGAGCTGCCCAACCCCCTGATCGGCCCTGCTCTGTGCGTGACAGGGGGAGCTCCCCAACCCCCTGATGGGCCCTGCTCTGTGCGTGACAGCAGGTAGCTCCCCAACTCCTTGATCGACCCTGCTCTGTGCGTGACAGGGTATGGAGCCCCAACCCCCCTGATGGGCCTTGCTCTGTGAGTGACAGGGGGCAGCGCCCCAACCCCCTGATTGGCCCTGCTCTGTGCGTGACAGGGCGTGACGCTGCAACCTCCCCATCGACCCTGCCTTGAGTATGACAGGGGGCGGTGCCCCAACCCCCCAATCGGCCCTACCCTGAGTGTGACTGAGGGTGGCATCGCAACCTCCCGATCCGCCCTACTCTGTGCATGACAGGGGCGGCTCCTCAACTCCCCAATCGGCCCTGCTCTGAGCCCGACCAGGGGCTGCACCTAGGGATTGGGCCTGCCCTCTGCCACTCGGGAGCAGGCCTAAGCCAGCAGGTTGTTATCTCCCGAGGGGTCCCAGACTGCGAGAGGGCACAGGCCGGGCTGAGGGAACCCCCTT